ATATAGCAAATTAGTGTGTTAAAACCCAAGAATATATCAATTCAATGCAATTAGAGGCTTCAAAATAAAAAGTATGAAATCTGAAAATTATTTTTAAAATTAGAATTTAAAGTTCAAAGCTTTTTCAATCACAAAATACTCACAATAATTATTTTATAGGTTTAGAAGCATAAAAACATGAAACTAACATAACTTGCTCATAAAAATTGAAACTTTAATAATCTGAAAATATATATATGATCAAAATAATTATACTTTAACAAAATTTAAGCATAGTATAATTAGATAACTTGATTAGCACGTTTTCAAGCCCTAAAACATGAAAAATCAATGTTTAAACCCTTATTTTCTTAATTAAACAAATCTGAAATTTTCTATAATAATTTAAACATGTCAAAACTCATGAATTCATAATCTTTTACAACCCAAGTATAATATCAAACCATAATAACAATCATTTAGAATAAAAATTAAACAAAGATTACAACTTTAAATCAATTTAATAAAATAAAAAGAAGTAAAGAAAAGGGAAGAAGAAGGGGAAAACTGCAAGGGGAGGCGCGACTGGCCGACGGTGGTGGCCGGAGGTGCGGCTGGCGGTGGTGGCTGTCCGGCAGGGAGGCGACAACAGGGCTTGATTTTTTTTTTTTTTTTGTGTGTTGTTCGGAATGCAGGGAGAAGAAGGAGAGTGAATGCTTTCTTTTTTCTTTTTTTTTTTTTACGTGAGAGAGAGGAAAAGTGTGAGGGTTTTATTTGGGCCTTGGGTTTCCTAATTAGATTAGGAGTAAAATTTGAGGTTTTGGGCTATTAAGTTAAAATTGTTTGTAAATTAGTCAAAAACATATTAGTTTACTTAAATCTTTTCATAAAAATAATTTATTCAATGAAGTTGACATAAAAATATTTGTAAGAATAATATATAACTAAATTATAATTAAGTTGAAAATATGGGGGATTACAAATCATGTCTAAGATTTATAGCGATTTCACTCGTAAGTGGTGCCGATTTCTGGCTGTTAAAGAGAGAAAAGAACTTGCCTTTTTCACTTAGGGGGTATCTATGGTATAAAGGGGGTAGATCTTGACATAGACTTTATTCATACCATCTTGGAGTATTGGAATTCATACACTCATTGCTTTAGACTTGGTTATAATGAAATTTATCCTTTACCGAAAGAATTTGGTGCCATACTAGGCTTCCCTTCCCTAAATCTTGCGATAATTCCAAAAGTAAGCGAGTATTATTATAAAGATTTTGAGTGTTTCCTTAACCTTAAGGACAAGGATTTGAAAAATATTGTGCATGGAAACATAGTTAATTTGAAAGAATTTGCACGTTTTTATTTTGACAGACCACGCTCCGAATCTTTTCATGTTTATAGGAAAAGGGCCTTTCCTTTTTTGCATGCTAAACCAGTATTTGCTCACTAGTGGTAATATTTACGAGGGTAGTAGCTTAGCCGGGCTTGGCCAAAATAAGACTACTCTAGTATGTGAGCAAAAGTGTTCAATCTTGTGGATGATCCTTTCTAGCTTAACCCAAGTGGGTTTCTCAAATCTCAATGCTATGGAATTATAGAGAAATCCCATGAATATTCCACTCTCCCATCAATGTGGGAGAGTTGGTAAAATTCCATTTTCTATTTTAATTTTAATTCAAAAGAAAAATCAATGCAATCAATAATAAATAAGTGTCAAAACAAGCGGGAGAGAGTAGGTGAGGACCACAAAGGGGGGGACCAACTCCCTTGCTCCCCAAGCATCCACAAACCGCCCCTCACACTCTCTCTCGGGTCCAACCAAAATGCGCCAGCTAGCCGCAGCCAGCCTTTGGCACCAAGGCAGCCTCGCTGATGCCTGGTGCCCTTGAATGAGCCTGCTGGCCTTTGGAACGGGCTGCTGCCTCGGCCTAGCACGCTCCGCATGCATGCGGGTTGCTGGGCTAGGCTTTGTGCGCCTGTCGCTAGCATCAGCTAGCATAGCCTAGTACGCTGTTTGCGCGCACCATCGATGCTGCTGTTAGCTTGCTAGCACGTTGGTGCGCGCCATCGATGCTACCACGCGCATGCTAGCATGCTGCACCCGCACCAGCCAGCGCTGCTTGAAGCCTCGGCTTGGTGCAGCGCAAATGCTAGCTTCTAGCTAGCACTTGTGCCCCTAGCACTTTGTTTGCTCGGGGCATTTTGATGCTAGGGGTATTTTGGTACTTTTTTGATGACTTGAATCGTTTCTTCGTCTTTTTAATTTGACTCGACTTGTGACGTTCGGTCTCGACGCTCCTAGCTTGATATTCGATGTATATGTTCATAATACTCGAGTGACTCATTAATTCCTTTCGGATTAATTTGTTGTAACTGATCGTCTGTTTGCTTGGGTGTGACCCGAAGGGTTCATTCAAGATTAAGATGTAATATTAATTATACATTAATATTAATAATTGGAAGCGGTCTCCAGCTAGGCATTCTGATCACTTGACCTCACTAAATAATTAGTTTTTTAATAATTTCGAACCCTCTATTGGAATAATACACATGTTCGAAGGATACCATTCCCATCAGAAACAACATGAAACTTGCCCCCAATCTTGTAGTTTATTAATTCATTTCTTTTAAAAGTGGTTACCCTTAAATAAATTTTTTTCTTAAATTCAAGATGTCTACGTACCAACAAGTAATTGAAGTTTACTTTTTGGATCAAGCCAAACATAGTTCAATTTGTGTGATTTTTGCTTGTTTTTTGTTGTTATTGCTATTGTTTTTGTTTTTGTTGTTTTTGTTGTTGTTGTTGTGTGTGTATGTTTTTATTTTATTTTATTTTTTGTTGTGCGGTTTAGGCTCTTGCTCGTGAGCTTTGAGGACCAGTTTTTTATCTTTACCCCCCCTTTGATGTTGATGATCATCTAATCAGGTATGTATTCACGATTGTTTATTGTAAACTCCATCTCATGAGCTTGAGTCGCCAAGTCTTGGAAAGTTTTGGGTTTAATTCCTTGCAAGATGTAAGCAAGATCCCAATGCATACCTTGGATGCACATCTCGATTGTAGAAGTTTCGGACAACTCATCCGATTGGTTGGTTTTTGTCAACCCGGTCATGTTAACAATGAGGCAGGTGTTGTAGAAGCGATTAGGGAACATTTCTTCCATTTGCTTCCAATTGTCGATAGATTTTCGAGGTAGATTTGGGTACTAATCAAACGCAACACTCTTGAGTAAGGCTGTGCAAAAAGTGGGTCGGACCGGAATTTTGGACCGGACCGACCCGGACCGGTTCGGACCAAACAAGACCAAATATAATCGGTCCGGTCTTCGGTTTCGGAAAATTATATTTCCGGGTTTCGGTCCGGTCCGGTCAAAACCCGGAAAAAGCCCAGACCGGACCGAAACCCATTTCACAGATTAAGATGGGCTGCGTTAATTGCTAACAAAAAAAAACGTTCTAGACTAATTCTAGGGAAATTAAACGTCAAAACATAATTGTTGAAAAAACCCTAAAACCTACAAACGTTAACCGCAAATCCGCAATACTGATGAGTGATGAAAAACGCAACTTGTAAGTTTGCAGACCCATCATCACATCTTCCTAAATTTCTTTTATGATTGCTTCTCTGATTCGCTTCTCAATATTATTATCAATTATCATCAATTTAGGCCAAGTGGAGTAGTATTGTTTCCTGATTTGCCCCGACAAAGGTAAAAATCTTGAGTATTTTAAATTTATTGTATGCTTTCATAGTTTCATGTAGTGGAATTTCTTTGTGAAATTTGAGATTTGTGTTTATTCTGCATGAAATAATTGTAATATGCACTTGAGTACTTGATAACTTGAGTCTTTTATTCAATAGTTGCCTCTTGCATGTATAGTGTATAGTTGTATACAATTGTTTAATTGTTTAACATGATTACAAAACTACTATATTATATTTATATACTAATCTTGCATGAGGTCACGAGTTGCATCTTTAATAACAATATATCATACTAAAAACATAGATTATATAGGCATTGCAATTAAAAACTACTATATTATATTCTTCAAAAGTTAAAGATGGATTATATCACTAAAACAACCTACAAAGCACTATAATATATTCTCCAAAAGTTAGATAGATTATAGCACTAAAACAACCTACTATATTATATTCTCCAAAAGTTAGATTATATAGCACTAAAAAACTACTATATTATATTCATGCTAGTATGCTACTAGCCACTAGATATATTAGTAATATTACTATACAAACTAAGCTTATAGCACTACTGTAAAGCTCATAATTTACATCCAACGAATACATCCATAGTTAATTGCATTTAATGAATAATATATTTTATGCATAAGAAATGCTTTATAATTTACATTTCCTTGTAGATGTCAAGCTCCAAATCAACAAATAAGAGGCCATTCTCTGAGTTTGAAGATTCAGAGGCAAATGATGCAACTTTTAATGAGGATGATGTTTCTGATAATGTTGATAAAGAGGAGCAAAATGTCACAACACTACTACCACCTAGGAAAAAGTTGGAGGGAAGATATTATGTTCCAAAGGGAAAAAGAAGAAGAGCAGAATATTGGGTGCATTTTTGGGAGTACAAGGAAAATGGTAAGCTTAGAGCTGAGTGTATGTATTGTGAGAATAAAACATTTGCTTGTGATGTTAATATCAATGGGTCAAAAAACATGAAAAATCATTGGCAGGCTTGTCCAGCTAATCCTAAAAATAAAACTAGAGGAAAACAAACTGAGATAGCTTTTGACCATGATGTTGAGGTTGGACAAGATAAAATGAAAGCTTGGGCTTTAAATATTGATGATGCTAGTGATGCTCTTGTTTACATGAGTATTGTGGATGAACTACCTTTTCGTCATGTAGAAAAACCTGGTTTTATGCATTTTATGTCTGTAGTTTGTCCTAGGTTTCATATACCATCACGCACTACTATTGCGCGTGATTGTTTACAACTTCATGCAAAATAAAGGACACAACTAAAGGAACTACTAAGAATGACATGTCAACGGATTTCTGTCACTACTGATACATGGACAAGTATCCAAAGAATCAAGTGCATGTGTCTTACGGGTCATTTCATTGATACTGAGTGGAAGTTGCATAAAATGATCTTGAACTTCTGTCCTATTTATAACCACAAGGGTAAAGCTATTGCTAAGGGGGTGGAAGAATGTTTGACTTCTTGGGGTGTGGATGAAAAATTATTCACTATTACTGTTGATAATGCAAGTTCTAATGATGTTGCATGTTCTGAATTAAGAAAAATGATGCAAAGTAAATTGTCTTTTATTGGTAATGGTGATTATATGCATATGAGATGTGTTGCACACATTATTAACCTTATAGTGTGGGATGGGTTGAAGAAGAATAAAAAATCCATCAATAAGGTTAGATATGTTGTGAGGTTTGTTAAGAGTTCTCCACCTAGATTGAAACTTTTTAAAGACATAGCTGCAAGGTATGCTCCAAACCATTCTTCATTGTCTTTAGATGTTCCAACTAGATGGAACTCCACTTTTGATATGCTAGAAAAAACATTGAAGTTTTGAGATATTATTTGGAGGATGGATATTCTAACTAATCCTCAATTATGATACGATTACTGAAACCCATGATGGATATGATGATAATCAGAGTGGTGGTATTGGAGAAGATGATTTGAGAAATTCTGGAGCTCCTCTTGAGAGTGATTGGAAGGTGGTTGAAGGGTTAGTAGTTTTCCTAAGAGAGTTTAAGGTTTTGACTGATGTCGTCTCTGGTTCATTGTATGTAACAAGTAATAATACTTTTTTTCACACTGCTCGTGCTCTTGATCAATTGAAAAGGTGGATGAATAGTGATGATGGAGATTTTAGACTTATGGCCATTACAATGCAACAAAAGTTTGACAAATATTGGGGAGATATTGAAAAGATGAATGTGTTGATCTATATGGGTACCATACTTGATCCCAAGGTGAAATTTGTAGGCTTGAAACTTTCTTTTGCTCGTATGTATCCATCATCTAAAGATGAAGAGTTAAGTCAAATTGTGTATTCGTAGAGCTACTTCATTGTTTGATGACTATAGAAAGATGTATACTCCTTTCACATCGCACAGTGATGACTCATTCACTACTAGTAGTAGATGTACTTCTTCACAACCTACTATTTTTGACTTAAAGAAAGATATTGAAAATCAAGTGAGGAGTTTAGCAACAGATGGAAGATATTCAAGTTCGGAATTGGATAGATACTTGAATGATCAAATAGGTGAACATGAGTTAGAGATGGACATACTAACTTGGTGGAAGATGAATGCTCATAGATATCCTATATTGGCACACTTAGCTCGTGATGTACTAGCAATGCCAATATCCACAGTTGCATCCGAGTCGGCATTTAGTGCCGGGGGTCATCATCTTGATTCATTTAGAAGCTCCTTAACTCATAAGGTAAGGTCTACATCTTTTTTATTTTTCTTTCTTATCTTTTTTGTTTATATTAAATTAATAATTAATAATTTTATTGATTTTTGTGAAAATAATTGTATTTCATTTAAAAGATGGTGCAAGCTCTTATATGTTCACAAGATTGGCTTCGTCCTAGGAAAGATAAAGAAAGAGGAGTTGAGGAAAAATTGGAAGAAATTGAGCAACTTGAGAAAGGTATTTTCTAATATATCATTACAATTTAGTTTTTTTCTTTTATAGTAGCTGATTTGATATATCTTTTGTATAGATTTGGAGAGCTCTACTTTAAATGATGGTGAATCTGATGTAGTTTTTGTTTGATAATTAAAAAAGGTAATACTACTATATTATTACTAATACTTCAATACATATATTATCTCTTTGGAATTTTTTAATTTATATGTGTTTTTGTTTTCTTTTGCAGATTGATACTGATGATATGATGATGTTCAAGATTCTTGGAGCAATTTCATAATTTCATTTTTATTGTCCTTGTTGATGTTTTGGCTTTAATATGAATTGTAGTATATTCAACGTATACTTTTGGAATTGTGGATTTGTGGTTTGACTTTTGAGTTATAAATGGGTACTATATGACTTAATGACTTGATTAATAATGATAAAAATATGTGTAAATAGGCATTAGGCAAGCAGTAATGATTAATATATTTATAATGTACAGTACTCAAAGAATTAAAGGCTTAAAGGCCATAACAATAAGGTCCACATTAGAAAACTATTCAGGATCACCAATCATCGGTCCGGTCCGGTCTTGGACCGAATTTGACTGGTCCGGTCTTCGGTCCCAGGTTTCCTAAAATTCGCTCTTCGGTCTGGTCCGGGTCGGTCCGGTCCGGTCCGATTTTGGACCAATGCACATCCCTACTCTTGAGAGAGGGAACAAACTGCTTGACAAGCAAATCTCTAGAGGTCCTAGCATTATTACAAATCTCTATGAAGTGTCCAATATGTTGCTTGGGGTTGCCTACTGTCCCATCAAATTGCTAAAATTTCGGAGGTCAATAGCCGTTTGACATTCTTATCTTGTCAATCCTCTTAGTGTTAGGTTTGCTATAGCGACCATCTTTGTTGACGTCTTTATCGAGTTGTTGTTTAATAGCATTGGCTATCATCTCTTAGATTTCTTGGAAGCTAAATGAATCGCCATGGGGCCTATCATTTTTTGAACTTTAATTTGCTTTGTCTTAGTGCTAAGTTCTGACCTGCTGCTATCACCTTCACTTTCTTTAATTGGGCGCTTCTTGAGTCTTCTTTCGAGTGCAACAATTTGTTCACTTTGAAGTTTGATTTGTGCATATTTTTCCTCGTTGTCTTTGATGAGTTTTTCAAGAAGTAACTTCATATTTGCTAACTCCTCCTTGATGGTGTTTACTTCAATTGCTAGGACATTTACAATGACGTTGTTGTGTACGTCCTCCTTTGTCATCATTTCTTCTATGTGCTTTGTCGTTCAATGTGTGGAGAAAGAGATGAGAGGTAGAAATCTAACCATCGAGCGTGCCAAATTTGTAAACACAAATTTTAAATCTGAAAAATATAGATTCAAAATAAATGCAACAAAAAGCATTTTATTAATTTGATAATTTTGGTACAATTTCTAATTTGTTCCTTTGATTCGATCTCCACTTTGTCTTTGACGTAATTCACGGATTGACTTGATTCTTGAACGAGGTTCGTAGAAGCTTGATCTTGATTGAAGATTTGATGTAGAACTTTGACTTATATTGATGTAGACCTTTGAGTTATATTGATGTAGAACTTTGACTTATATTGATGTAGAAAATTTGACTTGTTGAAGATTTGATGAAGATTTTGATCAATGACTATTTGATGATGTTTCCAAGTTTTTCTTTCCTTTGTGTTGAGGGCCGTCGATTTGAGAGGTATTTCTTTGTATTTTGATTCTACTTGTTTTCCTCCCCTCTTTTCAAATGAGGTAAAGAGTGCTCTATTTATAAAGTGAAAACATCCTAGGCTTAGGGTTTATGTATATTGGATGTATGGTTTTAACATTAAAAAAAAAACATATGTAAATTAATTAAAATGCGCTAATCTAATCTATAAATAAACTAAAAGAATTACCGCTGATGTCATTACTTTCCACATGTCAACTTCTTGTAAAAAATTTTACCTCCAAAACTAATAATGACATCATTAATTTTTTTTTCAACATAAATAAAAATTTGAAAATGCTAAGTTAATTATAATTTTTCTAATAGATTTTATATTTGAATTGACTAATTATGTAATTTTCATTGGAGAATTAAAGGAAGGTCGGACTATTTCATTTTCTTACAAACATTACGGAGTATCTTTTCCTCATACTCCATATATTTTATACAGATTATATGAGTTGGGGTGTCCACTCTTTATTAATTTATCAATTTATTAGATTTTTGTTAAATTAAATCTACTACGTACATATTACTCACAAATAAGCTAAAAGATATTGTTAAAATCATAAATTATTGTTAAACTCGTGCATCGCACGAGCCTAATCTAGTGTATATATATATATATATATATATATATATATATATATATATATATATATATATACTAGGTTAATCTTTCAAAAAAAAAATAAAAAAAAAATATATATACTAGGCTAAATCCCATGCAATGCACGGTTGTTAAATAATTTTGACAATTTTATTATAAATTTTTTAATATAATGACTTGAGTATTAAAAAATATAGAGTATATTAAAAATAAAAGCATGCAAGAGAAAATATTTAAAAAACATGTAATAGTTATAAACTTATAATGGATATTTTAATCTTTTAGGAAAAGATTTATATTTTATATAAAACAAATTATGTCATAATTTAGATATAATTTTTATTTTCCTTAAGTAATAATAATTTTTTTTAGAAGGTATTTTTTTGGGGGAAATTTTTTTAATAATACATTGACACGTGTGTCTTTAGATTCGCTTTTTTAGTAGTATGTAATAATAATAATTTTTTTTAGAAGGTATTTTTTGGCGGGAAATTTTTTAATAATACATTGACACTTGTGTCTTTAGATTCGCTTTTAGTAGTATGTAATTGATATAATTGACGGGAGTTTTTTCCTGAGTTTTTAGAGAACCACGTAGGATTTAATTTTTTCAGCGCGCCACATAAGATAATAAATTTTACTGGTAGCTAATTAAATAGTTTTTTCGTGAGTTTTTAGAGAACCACGTAGGATTTAATTTTTTCAGCGCGCCACGTAAGATAATAAATTTTACTGGTAGCCAATTAAATACGAGATTATTAATTTATTTTAGAATTAAATAAGTTAAATGACAAGTAAGCAAAATGAAATTTTTCAGTATTAATTAAATATAATATATTATCTTTTGATATCAGAAATTTTATCTAAATATATAACAAATTTTAGCACATAAATATATATACAAAAAAATTATTTTAAAAAATTAAAACAAACCGTGTATCGTACGGGTTTTATTTAATTTAATGTATTTCAATCAAAATAACTAATTTAAATAAAATACCACCGAGTCAATAATTTGATTTTTAACCGGTATATATCCAATATGACACTTAAATAATATATTTTCGTTCCTACAAAATGATTTACAAATTGCAATTTATTACTGTACAAGTAAATAAGAACAGAGAAGTATTTTCGTATATATAAAAAAAAAACAAAAAAAAACAGAGAAGTAATGAAATACCGTTCCGTATGATAACCGTAAGTGGTATTATTCCACGAAAGTTCGCATCATCCAGCAATTTTCCCTCCTCTTCTCCTCCCTTCCCCTTCTTCAAGAAACACCCAATACTCTTCATTCCTCCATTTTCCTTTCCTTGGATTGCTAGTTTGCTACAACACCACCAAAACAACTCCAAACAATTGAACTACATTACATCACATATCATTCCAATTACCATTTTTAATCAAATTCTGTGATGCTTCGTATCTTCCTCCACAACATCCGCCATCGTCGATACCCCTCTTACCTTCGCCAACGCCGATTTTCCTCCTCCACCCCGCCCTCCTCGTGTCAATCATCAACGCCGTCATCGAATTCTCACCCTCACAACCCAAACCATTCGCCGATTAAATATGTCAATTCCGCCTCCACTCTCTCTCCTCTCTCCGCACCCACCACCGCCTCCTCCGTCTCTCGCACCACCCTCTCCCTCTCTCTCCTCTCCATCCTTGCCGTAACTGGAACAACATTTCTATTTTACTCCGAAGGCGGAGGCGATGACATTCGCAAAATCACCTCCGCAATCGAGGCAGCAGTCCACCGATCCACCGATTCGACTCACCGGATCATCAATCAAATGAAGCATACTGGTGCTGCTGCTGCGGTCCTATGGCAGTCGCTTCAGTCGGTTCTTTCATCTGCCAATTACGAGGTTCGGTCTGGTTTTGAGTTTAGGGTTGCGGCGTTCTTGGCTGACATTGCTGCTGCTAATGCTGCGAGAAGGTCCGCCATTGTTGCTGCTGGTGGTGGGAGGGTTGTTGATTGGCTACTCGAGACGGTTGCCGGTGATGTTAGTGGGACTCAGGCTGAGGCTGCTAGAGCTTTGGCTTACTTGATTGCTGATCCTCTTGTTAGGCCTCAGGTTTTTGGGAGGCCTCATTCTGTTCCTTATCTTTTGAGGTTCATTTCTTCTTCTCAGCCTCAGCGCTCCAAGAAGGTTAGCATCCCTTTTCGTATTTTTTTTTGATTAAGTTTTGTTTTGTATTTCGAATTTCGAAATTGTTGAGCTTGGTTTGGTGCAAGTATGGTTGAATTTAAATGTTTGTCGAGGTTCGATTAATTCATATGAGTATACTGTATATTGGCAATGTGTTTTGATCAATTACAAACGAATGCTAGGAATTTCCAATCAAAACCAATAAGAATGATTTTCGAGATTGAGTGATGCTTATGAGTAAAACTTTGTCACATTGCTTGACACGAGCCACAATGACTGAGAGTAGTACAAGGATGGGTGACCTACTTGAAAGTGCTCATGTTGGTTCATGTAGGCGTTCCCACTTATGGGATTAAGGCGTTCTAGCAGAAGAGGAAGAAGAGTGATGCTTATGAGTATACTATACATGGGTGATATGGTTTGACCAATTAGAAACTGATTGTAGGATTTATTTACCAGAACCAATTTTAAGGACTTCTGAGTTTGAGTAATGCATATGATTGATATGAATATATTATACCTTGGTGTTGTGGTTCCACCAAGTAGAAATGGATATAGGTTTTGCTACAAGAACCCAAATGAACGATTTTTGAGGTCATTGATGTTATCACTTATGGTTCCACCAATTACAAACGACAAATGGTTGGATTTTCCTGTGATTATTTGTATTTGAAAATTTTGAGGCTGGATAATGCATGAGTGTAATTTAATATTGGTGATGTTGTTCCACCACTTTCAAACTAATGAATAGAACTAAGGGGTTTTTCATCAGAATCAATATGAAAATTTTTCAAGGTTTGTTTAATGCATATGAATATACTTTACAATGGTGATGTGGTTCCACAAATTACAAACAATGAATCACAGGATTTGTTTTGTAGAACAAACTGGTACTATTTGAAATTACAGTAGGTAAAACCGAGCTCTTCTTTCATGTGTGGGTTATGGTGGAATTGAGCCGTCACTTTGATTTATAGACTTTATAGAGCATAATAAATTCTGTATTAGGTAGTGATTGTCTATATTTGAATGGTATGATATGCAGGCACTCTTTCTTGATGTAAGACACTGGGATAAATTGATTGTCTGCTTTATGATAAATATATTCATTCTTCAATTTGTCATGGTGCATTGATATCTATGCAGTAAATTAAATTTTTGGCATTGGACTAGCATTACCATGGGCATGGGACTTTTCTTACAAAATTTTGTATATATTTACGATAACCACCTTTAATAACAACTTACGTTTGGCAAACTCATTTTCACAATTGAAGGTAGCTGATAATTGTGCCAACAATATGCTTATTCCGTACTACAATCACTCACCTCTTTTTGAAGTTTGATTTCTTTTATATCTACACCTTTCAAGGTGATTCTCTAAAATGACTTCTATGACCAGTGATAACTGATAAGAGAGCATGGAAGATTGGAAGGCAGTAATTTTGAGAAATTTCGCATTTTAAATGACTTGTTTGATTTTGGCTGTGGAATTGTGCTTTTATCTTGTGGATCTTGGTTTTGTGACATCTTACAATCAATGTTAATTTTTGGATGCATCTGAGTTTATGCTTTGTAAAAACATTAACTTTCACTGGAACAGAATTCAAGAGTTTCTGATTCTGTGAAAGGGAGGAGCATGCTTGTTGCAGCAATAATGGATGTTGTGACTTCCACTTGTGACAGCAAGGGCAATGTCCGATTCCAGCAATGCCTTCCTGCAAATGCTGAGATGAGGGACATTGCATCAGCAATTCAAGTAATTGAAGGTGGTTTTCTGGATGATCCAAATACTGAAGAAGATGATGATGGTGGGAATGGATTGAAGGGTATTGGTATCAAGGTTCTTGGAGGGACAACTGTATTAGGACTTTCAAGATCTAATGGGCATATGAGTTATGATGATAGTGATAGTGTAACAACCAGTAAATACGCTTCAAAAAATCATGTTTACCAGAAAAGGCATGATAGCTACCTTGGAGATGCAAGCTTGTCATCTTCTGTAGTGCCTGGTCTCTGGGATGATTTACATACTCAGCATGTTGCTGTGCCATTTGCTGCATGGGCACTGGCCAATTGGGCTATGGCATCAGAGGTTAACAGATTTCATATTCAAGAATTAGATCAAGATGGAAATGCTATCATGACTGCCTTAGCAGCTCCTGAAAGATCAGTGAAGTGGCATGGGAGTTTGGTTGCTCAATTGCTTTTAGAGGACAACAATGTTCTGTTGAGTAATTCTGTTTCAGACTGGAGTTCTTGTCTGCTTTCAACTATATCACAAGCTTGTAAAACTGATGACATACCTCTGGCACTGGTAGCTTTGTCTGCATTTTTGCTTTCTGTTGATAAGAGTTCGGGAGCCAAAAAAGTTGTTATGGAGAAAGGTCTTGATTTGATGAGAGACACTGCTAAACAAACAATGCACCATAAGGATATTCAAGAAGCTCTGGCAAGAGCATTAGAACTAATATGTACCAGTGAAAATCGTTTATCTGTTGAAGAAAGCCTAAAGTGGTCAGGTATCCTTCTTCCCTGGGCTTGTGGAAAATTTTCTTCTGAAAAGACTCGATATTCGGCAACTAAAATCCTTTCATGCATTCTTGAGGATTTTGGACCATCTTCTATCCCGATTTCTCAAGGATGGTTAACTATTCTAATAAATGAAGTTTTGGACTCTACTAAGGCATCATCAGTTAAAGGATCCTCCCAGCCAAAAAGCGACAAAGTGAAGGTTAGGATGTGCATTTATAGCTATATGTTCTATTATAAATTTCTGTAATATATTCTTCACCTCTGTTTTGGATTCCAATATTTGATTGGAATTTTTTGATCAAATATTTGTTCATATACTATGCTATCTTACATTTGCAGACTCAAATTGATCAGTCAAATATTCAATCTGGTATACTAATTGCCAGTCAGCTTGCAAATTCTGTTGTTAATCTAGCTGGAAAACAATTGGGTATTGCCACAGATCGCGGTGACTCATTCCCTATAGCTGATCTCCTGTCTCAAGAACCTTTCGCTGGAGCATTTAAAAGCTTAAATAAAGATCGGAATCCTAAATGTGATGCTGCTGACTCAGCAGTGGCAACCCTGAAGGGAATCAAAGTGCTAACTGAAATTTGTGCAGATGATCTTGTTAATCAAAACAAAATTGTAGATTCTGGGGTCTTATGTTTGTTGAGGCGCTTTTTGCTAAGAGATGATTATGAAAGCCTTGCTGCTATTGAAGCATATGATGCATCAAGAGCTGGGGAGGGACCAGACCAGGCTAGTAAGGTCCAAGATGAGTCAAAGGTAGATACTAATGGTCAATCAAATGTCCGAATCCCACCATCTACTCACATCCGGAGGCATGCAGGTAGACTACTAACTGTTCTTTCAGCATTGCCAAAAGTTCAAAAAGTTATTATAGCAGATGCAACTTGGTGTAATTGGCTTGAAGAGTGTGCTAATGGAAAGATTCCTGGATGTGATGATCCTAAGATTCAAAGTTATGCCAGAGCTACTTTGTTAAATGTGCTTTGCCATGAAAAACGGGACTCGGACACTGGAAGGAGTGGTGGTACTGGTACTGGATTTGTGAATGATAGAGCTGTAACTCGTGTTCAGCCCCGCTACGAGGATATGATATATCTAATCAATCCTGAATCACAGCACTGGAAATGTCATGATAGACCTGTATCCCAGAATTCAAATGAACACTCTGGTGGTGATAATGACATCAATTTATCTAGATCCACAGAGGGGTATGAGAATTGTTCAGATTTAGAAAACCCTGCAGTAGACATTGTTTTTGTTCATGGTCTACGTGGCGGGCCTTTTAAAAGTTGGCGCATATCTGAAGACAAGTCATCAACCAAGTCAGGCCTTGTAGAGAAGATTGATCAGGAAGCAGGGAAACAAGGAACCTTTTGGCCAGGTGAATGGCTCTCAGCTGATTTTCCTCATGCTCGTTTGTTTACACTTAGATACAAGGTTTGTTTAGAATCAAAGTCCCTTGTGCCTTTCTGCTTGGGGTTGTTGATGTGCCAAAACTAATATAATAACTAATAATAGCACTTGAATTTTGGATACATTTCTTTTTGTAAAGAATAAAAAGTAGAGTCTAATTTTAGTGCACCTATACAGTTTCCTTTTTTGTTTTGGGAATCATGAGTTTGAAATTGTACCTGGATAATTGTTGCAGACAAATCTTACTCAGTGGTCTGGAGCTAGCCTTCCTCTTCAGGTCTGCATCATTTTGCCATATATTTTTGATAGCATTCAATGTTATTGTTTGGTTTGGTGAATTTATCCAAATGTTATATGATTGAAAATTTTCAATCACTTTTATATCTTGGCTGAAGTTTTTTAGGCTCAATTTAGGGATTCCATAACTCATCTTGTGAACGGTAACATGTGTAAAACCATCTCTAATTCCCATAATTAATATACTAACACATGTAATGTTTGTTAGCAGAGAGGGTTATTCCAACAATAGATACATTATGTCAGGAAATTTTAAGGTAGACTAATAAGAGAGGGATACTTTGAAAAATCTCAAAAGCATCTGGTTTTAGATACCTCCCATCCCCCTCTTCGAAAATATCTTTTTTTTGGAAACATTTTGTTTTTACTCTCAATGATAACTTTGGTAATGCAAACTTGGGTGCCTGTGGTTATTTATGTTTTCATGTTTATTTTTGGAAAAATTGCCAAAAATAATGCTACCATTGGCCATTAGGTCATTCTTTTTTAATAATACAACCTTTTGATTATTTTTTAATAATAAAAACTTTAGGAGGTGTTAATTTTAAACCGGACAAAATCGGATGTGTAGTGGATTTCAAGGTTAGGAAAGGGGAGGTGATGAGTTTTTGGTGGTGGGGATGGGGAAGGGGGGAAATATTTCCCTCCTCTTCTCCTACCAAAAAACCCACCGAATATCCGATTTTATCTTGTTTAAAGCTAACACCCCCTAAAGATTGTATTATTTGAAAATAATCAAAAGGTTATATTATTAAAAAGAGAATAGGCCAAAGGTTGTATTATTTTTGGCAATTTTTTTTTTTTTTTAATTTTTTTTTATAAAGACGTGGACTAAACTTAATTTTCCAGTGTACTAATGATTGAGAATTTAGTTCAAGGAAGCTATCAATGAATATCGTTTGGGGTGGGGGTCATCAAATTCAAGTCAAACATGTTTCTTTATATGTATTTGCTCTCATGTATGTATAAAATAAGGCTTGTCAGAGGAAAAGGGAGATTCTTATGTTTCTGATCATAATGGAGGAAAATTGTCTTATGATCTTGGACCTTTTTAAGGCTATGTTGCAATAAATAAACCTCCCTGTTGTGTTATCATTTTTAAATTGTACTCCCTCTGTCCTTAATTGATCTACCCTTTTCTCAAATTTCACGGGAATTAAGAAAGAAAAAGGACAAAGTAGTAGCAGTACATGGGAAAGCTAAATTCAAATGGGAAAGAAAAAAAGTAGAGAGAGAATTAGAGAAAGTAGTAGAAGTACATTCACATGGAAAAGCTAACTTTTGCACAAATATTTTTGCAAAATCAAGGGTATTTAGGAAAATCGTCTAATTAAGGCAAGAAAAATGAGGGTAAAAGGGTAATTTCATGATACCAATAAATGGTAAGAAAAAGAAATGGGTGCATCATTTAGGATCACCTAAAATAGAATATGTGTAGATCATTTGGGGACGGAGGGAGTAATAGTTATTTGGTTGTAGAGGTATAGTCTTTTGGTTTTTTTATTTTTTATTTTATATCTCTTTCTCTTTTTGATTTAATGTATCTTGATGGACTCCCTTGGTTCTACCAAACAAAATGCTTGGTACTTGGTAGGATATAGTCTTTGTCGTGAGAACAGGGTAACAGGTAAAAATTTAAATATCATGCTAAGGAAGGAATGTAAACTCCTGAACAACACGCATTTTGGGATATTTTATTTTTAATTTTTTAGCTGATCTAGTATCTTGCAATAATATTATTGCCTTTGCATTTGATTTTATGTACAAATTACAGGAAGTCAGCTCAATGCTTTTAGAGAAGCTTGTCGCTGCAGACATCGGCAGTCGACCTATTGTGTTTGTCACACACAGGTTCTTTACCCTCTTTAAAGAACCATTATCTCTCTTTTGTCAGGCTTTCATGTACTTTTTATCAGGGAATTATTATTGTGTTTGTTGTTCGTATGTATTAGAGATCTTTTTGTTGGTAACTTTTGAATATTTAATGTTTACAGTATGGGCGGGCTGGTAGTGAAGCAGCTGCTATACCAAGCAAAGACAGAAAATTTGGACAATCTTGTCAATAACACCGTAGGAGTTGTATGCCCCTTTCCCTTAAATCTTGTTTCAACCATATTAATTTTATTTAGCATTCTATGATACTTATTTTATCCATGGTGACAGGTGTTCTATAGTTGTCCACATTTTGGCAGCAAACTGGCAGATATGCCCTGGAGGATGGGCCTTGTGCTTCGCCCTGCACCTACGGTCATTTTCACTCTTATCTCATTGTTTTTTTTTTTTCAATATTGTCACATGTTTGTTTTAATCAGTTGTATTGTTATTTTATAGATAGGGGAGCTAAGAAGCGGATCTCCTAAGTTGGTTGAGCTTAATGATTTTATGCGGCAACTTCATAAAAAAGGGTTACTTGAAGTACTTAGCTTTTGTGAGGTAAAGTATTCTATTTGATTTGTCTGGTTAAGCAGTATGTTGCAACTCTATTCTTGACTGTTGATTGTCCTGTTATGGACTGACTTAGGATTTTCTAATTTAAGGACTAATTAAGATATAAAAGCTTGATAATTTAGATTAATAATGGCAGAATTTGGATACAAAAGGATAGATTAATAGCTTAAGGCTATCACTCTCTTGATAACTTTAGGTTATCACTCTCCTAGTAACTTGAGGTTACTACTCTCAACATTTTCCCTCACAATTCACATGATAGCTAATGCATACACTATCCCTTATTTATACTAAGGCTTAGTTAGGAATAAGGGCTACTAACCTAAAAGTACTAAAATTCCCAAACTACCCTTGTTAATGTTAGTCTATTACATGTCCCTTTCAGACCAAGGTGACTCCAATTGTTGAGGGCTATGGAGGATGGGCTTTCCGCATGGAAATAGTTCCAATTGAATCAGCATATCCTGGTTTTGGTGATATTGTGGTAAGTATGGTGCTTTGTTAAGATTGCCTGAGCAGGCGAAGTATTAAAAGTTAACCCTCATATTTTGCCGTCATGCTGGTGTTTATGATGATATACTTCTATGTGGTTGTTCGAAAAATTCAGGTTATTTCGATCATATAGCACAGTTTGGAAGTTTCATTAGCTTACACAAATAATAGTACTACCTCTAAAGATTAAATATCTGTGGAGTTAAATTGCTGTGGCCGGGATGTTTCTCCCATTTAAATGAACGTTGTCTCACTATGATGTGCTCCAGTTTACCTTTTGATCTGAGTTAAATGTTTTTTCTCTGTCTGATTGTTTTCATACCTTTGTTAGGTGTTAGAGTCAACTGATCATATTAATTCCTGCAAACCACTCAGTCGTGATGATCCTTCATACACAGAGATATTAGAGTTCTTGCGTAAAGTAAAAGCTCAGCATACGTGAATTAAGAAAAGGATAAGTGTTTCAGAGTTTCAAGCCATTTTGAATTATTCATTTTGTACATAGTTATAGATAGCTCCATGAATCTAAAGCTCAGTAGAAAACTAGAGATGACTGATAACTCACGGGATGTTCTTTGAACCAAGGATGCATTTTATTGCAATTTGCATGAGCTTCTATCAAAGTTGGCATTTTAGTGAAGGAACTGGTGCATTTATTGCTAGTAGGCATTGGGTGGCTTACTCTACGAAAAGTATTTTCTGATTGTTGCAGGGCTTTATGCTCACCTTTAGGTTGGAACGCTCATTCTGTTTCCTGTTATACGAGTCAGGTTTCAGCTGTGGACAGTTGCCCTTTATTAGTTGTATGTTGTAGAATCAACAATTAGCATAGGAGTTGTAAATGAATATTTATATACTACATAGTATGGTACATTTATAAGTCATACTTGTGAATTATGATTTCATCATCATATCATATCAATTATTTGCATAGAGATGCAAATTTGTGTGAGCTTATTAATGTTTGAAATTCACTATTTATTTCTATTTGTTTTTAATTTGTGTGTGTATTTTATCATCTTAAGTCTTGAATTGAACCTTGAAAAAAAAAGCCTTGGTATTGATAAAATTGTTTTAGAAAGGGGATTAAGGACTTAGGCTTGCAATCTGTAATTCTGAGTTCGAAGCTGTTGGAAATCAAGGTAGAAAAGAGGATTTTATGGCGGAGAGTCGGGGATAGACAATTTGGGTAGTCGTGCACTACTGAGCCCTAGTTAGCTAGAAGTAAGCGTGCCATACAGCCCATACTGGACTTCAGTGCACCTGCAGGGCATGCAACATCAGTATAGCAAGCCGCGGATTGTTTAGCTAGGTTTATATGGTTTCGTATAGATTTTAGGCTCTTTGGACACAATTGTGCTACGTCGGATCTAGTAATTCTTTAAATTCTTGAATTGGGTTTGAAATGTGTTAGTATGATATGGAGCTTATATAAGGCCAGTTTGGGACAATTTAGGAGGCTTGTCCAGTTGTCCATCTTCACTTTTGTTTCAAGGAAAGGACAAAGATTAAAATCCTTTAATTCTCCATTTTCCTTAGTTAGAAATTGCTACCTTTTTTTTTTCTTTTTTTTGAAACCTAGAAATTGCTACCTAAGCGTGTTTTCTGGTAAATCTTGCCAACAAATGATTCATAATAGATAATGTATTTAGAGCTTTTAATATGTAGCAAAGAAAAGCACTTAGATTTAAGTACACCATGTTTTATTAAATAAATTTCCTTTGATTGAGAAAATTACAAGTAATAAAAGACAATGATATCAACAACAATATAAGCAACAACATTTATTTCTTCTGTATAAAAAATAACATACGGTATCAAAGCAAATAACTAAAGGAAAGGTGCTGATGAAAAAACTGAGATGCAACTGATGTTTTCAACCGGCCAAGATTTGATTTACATGACTAGGATGTTTCGGCTTGTCCAGTATGGGCATGACCGTAATGAGCGCGCCCATTTCCCTGGGGTGATTTTATGTAACGTAGCCGCCTCTCCTTCGACAACACCTCTGCTAGCCTATATGAATTACAAAATAACTCATTCATACATCTCAAATTATAAAATTGCTCAAGTAAGTTGATCCATTTTGAATGGAGTATGGTTGATAAATGATAAGCACGTGAACAGTAAATGTAAAGAACATTAGTATGAAATGGACATAATATATACTTTGTACATCGCAAATATTACACATTTTTACCATTTGCTTCCATAAAAGTACAAGTGTACAAGTAGTGAGATTGAATTGACTAACCTTTTGAGAATTTCCTCATTAGTATGACGACTGATAGGCTCACTTACACCAGTAGCCAAATTCACATTTGAAATAGGTTTTTTCAGCAACTCTTCCCCAACTTTTACTAGATTACCCAAGTTTTCTTCAGTCGAAATATCAACAGATGATATATCCCCCATCAATGTATCATCCTACAAGTTAGGAAGTATTTAATATCATCAATTCTTTCAAAAAAAATACAAGTATACTTATCATAACATTAGGAAACCCCATTCACGAGGGAAAAAATAGGAAACTTGAAATAAAATACCTGAATCCGGATATAATTTTTCTCACAATGAAGGGCTTTAAAGACAGTGTTAAGATGAAGATCCACCATATCACCACTTGCTTGCATAAACACATCAATTAAAGGGCAGGACCCTCCAGATGTAAGCCAACTCAGCATACCCCATTTCGCCGCTGAGTCAGCATCATACTTCTCATCACATTTGGTTGTACCAGTTCCTAAGGATAATACTAAGTATTTATTATAATCTGATGGTTTTATAGGGTAGAAATCAGGGCTCCCACTATATATCTCATTTGACACTTCGTTTATTGCTGCCAATGCCTATAAATATTACACAAATGACGCGAAGTTTATATTAGGAAAGTTAGGAGTTGATAAGTTCAGATCAGATAAGGTAAGTCAAGTAGTGATAATTACATACCGGATTGTTAGCGGCGACACCACCATCAATAAGATTGTATTCTCGGATTTCTCCACTATGTCCTTCATACTTGAAATAATGGGCTGGAAGATAAGTTGGTGCAGCTGAAGTGCCTATGCATATATCCGAGAGTAACACATCTAAGCTTGGAGTCCTTTTTACCTGAAAATTAAATACGTGGTCAATCAATTTTGTTATTCATATCGTGTTAATCAATTTTGCCTGAAATTAAATACATGGTGAATTGAAGTAATAATAATCTTATTTCACCAAATGCCATTGAGTAATTTAAAAGTGCACCAAATGCCATCGGACTTTTCATAATTCACCAAATGCCAATGAGTTTTTAAAAAATTCACCGAGTGCCATTAATGACTAACGGCAATTAACTCCGTTAGTCATTAAGGCTAATTATGCCACGTGGTGGCTTATGATTGGTTGCTTATTAAATTAGTAAATTAATTACTTAATAAAAAACTTTTAAAAAAAAAACACCCACCATGACCCAGCCCCAACCACCGTCTGTCACTGCCACCACCATATCTCCGCCTCCAGCCAGTCCCCACCGCGACGCAACCCAGCCTTGAACAACTGCACCGGCGACGACGCAACCCAGCCTAGCTAACCCGCGCCAACGACGCAACCCAGCCTAGCCAACCCACGCCGACGACGCAACCCAGTCGCGATTCACAAACTCTCGTTCTCCCTCGACAATCCCTCCCCTCCCCACCGCCGATGACCAAATTCCCCCCCCCCACGCCGGAGAACCCAAATCAGTTCATCCCCTCCGAGCTTCACCCTTTAAACCATCACGCCGGATCCCTTAATTTAAAACCCCAAAAATCGAAATCTAGGGTTTCGACACCTTAAACCCCCAATATCGATTTCCCTTAATTCGAAGCCCCTTCCCCGCTCCGGCGAACCCAAACCAGCCCTTCCCCTCCCATCTCCACCCCCTGAACCACCTCACTTAAACCCCAAAATCGAAAACCTTAAAATCGAAATTTAGGGTTTCTATTTTGGAGATTTCAATTTTGGGGTTTTACGGTGTCGAGGATGATAGTTTAAGGGGGGGAAGTGGATGGAGATGGTAGGGGTAGGGGGAAGGGTGGCCGCCGACACCAAAGAGGATGTTGGTCGTCGGTGAGGGTGGGGGCAAGGGGTTGGGCTGGCGTAGGGGCGGTGGTGCGGTGGGAAGAGTGGCTGGGGTTTAGTTTTTTTTTGTTTCTGATTTTAATTTTTTTTTTATTTTTTTTTGAAAACTTCTGATTTTAATTTTTTTTGATAAATAAAATAATAATGAAGTGAACCAATTAGAATACATCACATGACATAATTAACCTTAATGACTAACGGAGTTAACTGCCGTTAGTCATTAATGGCACTCAGTGAATTTTTTAAAAATTCAGTGGCATTTGGTGAATTCTGAAAAGTCCGATGGCATTTGGTGAATTTTTAAATTACTCAGTTGCATTTGGTGAAATAGCTGAATAATAATTTGGTATATTGATAATTCAAGATATATACACGAACGTACGTACAATCATTATGCAGCAATAATGCAAGTAGTGTGTGCACAATGACAAAAATGGAAATTTTAAATTCGTACTTGTAACGTTGCTGATAGAGAATATCCATAGAATATTCTCATCCTAGGTTTAGGATATATTTTGTATAAGATTATCTTTGATGTCTGTACATATCTTATAGTTACCTAATATGATTAGGTTTCTCATTGAAACCCTATAAATATTGATCAATGGAAATCACTCTAATCAAGAAGTTTTATATTATCTGACATGGTATCACAGCTTAGGTTAGATCTTGGGATTATATACAAAAATTCTCACTCTGCCGGTGGGTTAGAAAATTAAACCCGCCGGCGGGATATACAAAGTTTTTTATGCTTCCGCAAACACACATATAGATTTTTTTTTTTCTTTTCTCAAAGTTTTTTTTAGAATCTTTATGTAACCTTGCGCCTCCCACCAACAGTAGCAATCGCGAAAGCCTCCTCCATCATTGTTGGCAATCGCATACACTATCGCCTCCCACTACTGGCAGTAACCACATCTGCCAACCTACTCCATGTGCCGCACTCTATTTCCACCTCCCCATGACCAACAATGATTCTTACATTGCCTCATTGGTTTTTTTAACACATAATCACATAGATTTTGTTTGGGTGGTGGTATATCACAATAAGGTCAACTTTTGCAAATCTCTTTTGCTATCAAGTTAGCTCCTTTTATTGTTGCAACACTTGGAATATTTGTGGAGTATTACTTCTTGCTACCTGGTTTCTCTTCTGAAAATTGATTAATTTCAAGCGGTGGGATTTAATCTTTTCTTGCGCAATTTTATTTATTTTTCTTCAAATGTGATTTCATGTAGTAGTGTAGTGTCTTCTTCCCGATGATGGTTTGATCCCTTAGCTTCTTCTTCTCTGGATCTGCAACTTAGCCCAAGTCTGTGTGCGACTCTTCTCCTTCTCCTCCGGCCTAGCAGTGCTTATCTCTACTCTATGTAGGTCGTGGATGTTGCTTCTCTTGTCATCACCGGCACAATTCTACTACTTTCTCTTTTGATCATGGGTTACTATACTATCCTTACCGTTCGATGCGTGATTCAGATCTAGTCTGAGCATCCGATTTTCTCCCGCTCTGACTGCGGGGTGTGATAGAGAATATCCATAGAATATTCTCATCCTAGGTTTAGGATATATTTTGTATAAGATTATCTTTGATATCTATACATATCTTATAGTTACCTAATATGATTAGGTTTCTCATTGTAACCCTATAAATATTGATCAATGGAAATCACTCTAATCAAGGAGTTTTATATTATCTGACAGTTGCTTTAGTATTTTGTACCATGTATCCCGTTGAAAAAAGAGGCTTCCAGTAACTAATTGTACAAGACTAGCTACAACTCCTACAAGTACACAAGCTAATGACAAAGTAACCCCTATAATAAAATATTTTTTCCGTTTTTTTAGTTGCTACACTTTTGATTTCACGGACTCTTAAACAATT